AAGCCCTTTTCCCATCACTCTTTCCTGAGCATCCTCTTCCTCCTTCAAGGGCCACCTTAAGTTTCTAGAACATTCTGTGGCTCCCTTGGTCATAGCCCGAAAACCAGTGCAGGGCTTGGCACGTGGAAGCTCCTTCCCCACCCCCTGCAGCTGCCCAGCCTGGGGCAGCCCTCCTCGTGGGGAGGCGGCACGGAACATGGCCACAGCCAGCCAGCCCACAGTGCGATCAAGGCCACAGGAGCCGCGAGGGGTCACACCCCCACCCCCACCTATGTAGGAGGAAACCAAGGACCCGACTGATTAAGGACCGGGTCAGGGTCACACCCTCCAAAATGGCAGAGGCGGGACTTGGACCCAGTTCTCCCTGCCCCCAGGCCAGGCTTAAGAACTTGGGCTCTGGAGTACGGCTGCCTGGGGTTACATCATCTGAGCTGCAGGACCGCTCCGAGCCTCAGTGTCTTCCTCACCCCCACGACAGCCCACCGGGTGCTTGAAAGCAGGTCTTATGTATTCCAGGCCCAGCCCTGCCAGTTTCTGCCAGGGCGACTCCGACGTCCTAACCTCCAGAGCACAGCGCCAGTGTGTCGTGAGAGAATACAAACCAGCCAAGAGTAGGGCTCACAAAGGTGGGACGGACGGTGGTGATGACATCGCCCTAAGGGCAGGCACCCAGGTCAAAGCCATGACCAGGAGGCCTCCAGGGAGTCTTGGGACCCCAGCAGACAGCTGCCAGAAAGCTCAGATCCAGTGAGCCAGGACAACCAGGCAGCCCAGCTCCACATCGGGCATCGACAGCCCTGCACTCCGGCTGAACACAGCCCTGTCTTCTCCACCAATGGCGACGTGAGCCCTGGCCCTCCGTGCGGACTTGCAGGGGCAGGTGGAGACGGGTGCACAAGGGGCAGTCCGTGGGGAATGGAGGCGGCCGGGTGGGCTTAGCCTGGACACCCTCAGCAACCCCACACTGCTCCTCCTCTCTCACCTGATCAGGGACCCCTGCAAAGCCACGCGTAGATGTCACCTTCTCCAGACGGCCACCCTGGATTCCCCAGGCTCCTACTGTGAACTCACACAGGCCTTCCTCTGACAGCATTTCTGGTTCCTCTTTCCTCAGCATGTGGCCATTATCAACAGACTTCCCCTGAGGGTGTGGGACCTGCGCAGGCGAGGTCCTATGGCATAGTCACTGGTCCCCGCAGGCTGCAGACTGTCTCCCCGTCTCCGTACGGTGGGGTAATGACCTCCCCCTCCCCCCACAGGACAGCAGGAAGGAGCAAGGTATAGAAGGAAGGTGCTGGGGAAACAGCTCTGGCCTGGGGCAGGACTGTCATGGCCTCATGGGCGTGTGCGCTTGGTTTAATGCTCTAATTTGGCTGCCCTGAAATTCCTAACTTTTACACAAGAAGCTCTACATCTTCACGCATACCCCAAAATGGTAGTCGGTCCTAGTCAGCGGGCTCTGTTTCTGACCCACCTCTGCCTCTAAGTCACTGGGAAATTCGGACGTGTCCTTCCTCTCGGGGGCCTCGGGTGTTTAAACTGTATATGAGAAACAAGTAGCCGATGCGATGCCTGTCTTCCCTGCACCCCAAATCCCACTGACCGGTCCCGCCCTCTCTCTTCCGCTGACCTTCACAATCCTCCACCACACACACCTCCGGCCATCACAGCAGCGCCAGCCCGGGCACGTGGGGCCTCAAGGCCAGCCCTGGTGCCAGCTCGCAGCCCCGCTTCTAGGAAGCCCCCTCCCGCCCCACCCCCAGGTCCCCACCCTGTAAAGAGGCCCCCCCTTTGGGGATGATGGCAAGGCCCACGGAAAGCTCGCACCGGTGGGAGCCCTGAGCGAACGAGCCAACCGTGGGCCCCACTCCCCCCCCCACAGAGAGGGTCCAAGCACCAGGCCGCTGCAGGAAGGCTGCACCCACTGGCCCAGGGCAGGGAGCGGGAAAAGCCGGTGAGCCGTGTCTCTTGGCCTTCTGGCCTCAGTGTGCCCATCTGTCCAGTGGTGGACATGTGGTCCCGGGGGGACCTCAGCCTCCTGACTGAGAGGCTGCCCAGCAGCCACTCTCCTGCCCAGAGGCCCCTGGAGAGCAGTGGTGGTGCCAGAGAGAGTGCCCAGGCCCCAGGGGCAGCCCTTCTCTTCCATGGGCCAGGGGCACAGATAACAGGAGTGTCTCACAGGCAGAGCACACGGCACAAGGCCAGCCTCTGCAGGTGACCGTTGTGATAATCATCTGGACAGGCACCCAGGTGTCTTCTTTGCAAAGGTCTTCTGGTCACCCCTGGGCCCTGCTCTCCCCCCTATTTCTTCTGAATGCAGGGCCCAGGGAGCAGGTACCAAATGCAGGCCAAGAATATTAAAAGAACACAATTCAGCTTGGGGACAGAGCTCTTAATGCTCTGGGACTTGAGCTGCACCGGAAAAGGGGGTGGGGGGTGGGGGGCTCTGGGATCCCATGAACATATCCCCAAAGACATGAGAGTCGGTCTCCATTTCCAGGGCTACAACACACAGTACTGACTCTGTCCCAGGCCGGG